CTCCTCGTTAATGTTTATCGATCGTAAACGCCGCAATCGGCACGAGGATAATCGCGCCGGTCGCGTGATTCTCCAAAGATCTCATAATTCGGGTGAGGTCCGCGCAACACGGTCGCGTCGCGTGTCTCTTGACGATGGGGCCGCGAGATTTAATCGGTCGAGCAATGCAATCATCATCGTCGCTTGGTTTCATAATGCAGCGATTTAAAGTGAAGGCAAAAATAAACCTATAGGCTAAGAGCGTGCTAATAGATCGCCCATTAAAAATACGAGTTATCCATTAAGCAATTACATAAATCAGTCACTATCTGATTGTCTTCGGGCTGTTCCCCCATTTCAGCCCATAGGCCAATGCTGTCACCCTTCAAAATATTAGGTAATCACCCGATTAAGCGACGGTGACGATCGTACGATAACTAGGAGGGGCTCGATCGCGAATGAATTATTTTATGACTTCTTATTCGACTAAATTATACATCGACACGTGACCTAGTAGTGTTTAAAGCGCTTTCACTCCCGTCACGCGATTCTGTGTCGTCATTCTACCGCGTGATAAAAGAAAGCACGCAAAGGAAGCGTGAAATCATAGAACCGAAACCGCACGTTTCTTAGATAATACGTTCCACTCGACTAATTTTTCTTTACACGCAATTCGACTGGTGAGGAGCAAGACGTGGAGGTAAAATGTCCAATCACCTGATCTGATGTCGTCTCAACGTCGGTAGACAAGATGGAGACGGGTACGGATATCGGTTTTTCTTTAAGATCGAGTTATGACCTATCGATATCACGTGACGGGAATGGAAATAACGCGTGTCAATGGATGTCTGTTCCGAATAACTTAGGAGTCGCAGACCACGTGATCATTACAGCCCCTTCAACGATGAGAATTGGCTAGTCTGCTGTAACAAGATAGAGAGAGAGGGAGGGCTGTTTTTGCCCGTCTTTCTTTTGTCACATTTGCACCCTGACCACTTTCTCCACTTCTCGCGGGATTATGTTTCTCCATAGAGTGGGTAAAGAGGCGATAGATAAGAGCCTCTCGCTCGACGTCAACGGAAGTGCCACATTCGTCGCCGATACGGCGTCTAATATTTTAAAATTTTGTCAAAGAATTCAAATATCGATAACACAGAAAAGTAATCGATGAATCTGATGATCCACATTCATTGCATGCTGTAATTGAGTCGCAGCAATTGTCGCATTATGGAGAATATTCAACAATCGCTAGCAAATTTCGAGTTCATTCTCTATTTAAAGCGCTAGTAGGAGGGCCCATCCGTGGTTAAAATTCTCCGTCCGAGAGTGTTCGTGCTGTTTACGTAATCCTTTCGGCGGGAATATCCCGCGGCGCGAGGAATTCGCTCCTTCCACAACATCACTTTTCGTTTGGTGCCAAAACTAACGCTTCCAAGCGTTCAAAATCATCAAAAATTCGTAAAACTAAACACTGATCCTTGTTCGTTAACGCTAACTATCAACAACACGGGTAAAATCTTATTCTGGAATAATACAATAACAGTTAAACATAGTTGTGTAAATTCATTTAAATTCGATTAAGCACTGATTTGATTTCGCACGTGCGGAGTAACGAGGCGAAACACGTGATCGTAACTCTCGTCTAAACTTTAATTCGATCGACAACAAACATAACATTCCACAAGTTCCATCGATCGGAAATGGTAGAAAGAGATCGCGAGCGACACGTCGAAAAACGAGCAGGAAAAGAAAAAATCGACCCCATATCGCTTTTTTTTTTTTCGTGGACAAGTCTAGGGAAATTTTAAACGTTGGTGGGAACTTAATGCACTTCCTCAATCTGGACATTTGAAGACTATTAACCTCGCGTGACTTCACCCCGAAGGGTGACATTTTTCCTTTCTCCAATCTCGTGCCATATGCCAGAAGCTTATCCTACCGAAAGTGAAAGTGGGTTCGACTTACCTGGCGGACACATGCATTCGGCGGCCACCACATCCCTCTTCCTCCTCTTCTCCTCCTGTTCGGCACGCTGCAGAGGGTAAAAAGGGAACTTTCAGTATAACAATACCGTGACAGTAACAAAAGGAGTAAAAAAAAACTGGCTACCCTTATTCACGTGACGTAGAAGGAAAAAGTTCCATTTTCTCCTTTACCAAATCCCTTAAGGGATCAAAAGCGGGTAATTTATTATCTTTACTCCAGATAATTATCTTGGCTTAAACAAACAGTTATCTGCAGAGACATTAAACAGAGGAAGCAAATATTTACTCCGCGACTTTCACCACCTCTAATTTTGGTAAGTGCCATCACTGTTACGCGAGGCTCCGGGCGATCGCGGGTTCGAAGACGACGCGTCGCGTTGCATCGAAGAATAACAGAATNAGAGACATTAAACAGAGGAAGCAAATATTTACTCCGCGACTTTCACCACCTCTAATTTTGGTAAGTGCCATCACTGTTACGCGAGGCTCCGGGCGATCGGGGGGGGGGGGGGGGGGGGGGGGGGAAAAAAGGTTTTTTTTTTTTTTTTTTTTTTTTTTGTTCGAGTTTTCGGGGGGAGCTTAATGCACATCCGCCCAACTTCCTTCTGGAAAAGAACGCACCCACCCCACACCGAGATAGCATCTTTCGGTCATCGGGGAAGAAGAGCATGCCACACCCTTGAACATTAAACGTAGGACCAAATATGGCTCATCCCCACCAAAATTATTTCTCGTGCCACCCGTGACGTCACAGAATGAGTAGGAAAAGGAGGTTGCCTCGATTTAAGTCTAATTATGTAGCAGGTGTCCGTTCCGATTTTATTAGCGAAGTGAAGGTGAAAATTTTCACCCATCCATATTATAGTCGTGTATATTGCAAATTTAAACGATGTTAACAATAAAAATTATCAAACATACTTTGCTTGCTACCTCGAAACTCCCCGAATTTGAGTAAATCTGTAGAGGTTGGAGATCCTATCGAAACCCCTAACTATTGAAGATCCTATCAAACCCCAACTCTGAAGATCTTATCAAATACTCGGCCATTGAAATTCTATCAAAGGTGTATTGGAATGATTCTATCAAACTCCTCAGTTAACTTTCAGTGAAGATTAACAGTCGTAGAATATTATTATGTAATAANCGCGCCGGTCGCGTGATTCTCCAAAGATCTCATAATTCGGGTGAGGTCCGCGCAACACGGTCGCGTCGCGTGTCTCTTGACGATGGGGCCGCGAGATTTAATCGGTCGAGCAATGCAATCATCATCGTCGCTTGGTTTCATAATGCAGCGATTTAAAGTGAAGGCAAAAATAAACCTATAGGCTAAGAGCGTGCTAATAGATCGCCCATTAAAAATACGAGTTATCCATTAAGCAATTACATAAATCAGTCACTATCTGATTGTCTTCGGGCTGTTCCCCCATTTCAGCCCATAGGCCAATGCTGTCACCCTTCAAAATATTAGGTAATCACCCGATTAAGCGACGGTGACGATCGTACGATAACTAGGAGGGGCTCGATCGCGAATGAATTATTTTATGACTTCTTATTCGACTAAATTATACATCGACACGTGACCTAGTAGTGTTTAAAGCGCTTTCACTCCCGTCACGCGATTCTGTGTCGTCATTCTACCGCGTGATAAAAGAAAGCACGCAAAGGAAGCGTGAAATCATAGAACCGAAACCGCACGTTTCTTAGATAATACGTTCCACTCGACTAATTTTTCTTTACACGCAATTCGACTGGTGAGGAGCAAGACGTGGAGGTAAAATGTCCAATCACCTGATCTGATGTCGTCTCAACGTCGGTAGACAAGATGGAGACGGGTACGGATATCGGTTTTTCTTTAAGATCGAGTTATGACCTATCGATATCACGTGACGGGAATGGAAATAACGCGTGTCAATGGATGTCTGTTCCGAATAACTTAGGAGTCGCAGACCACGTGATCATTACAGCCCCTTCAACGATGAGAATTGGCTAGTCTGCTGTAACAAGATAGAGAGAGAGGGAGGGCTGTTTTTGCCCGTCTTTCTTTTGTCACATTTGCACCCTGACCACTTTCTCCACTTCTCGCGGGATTATGTTTCTCCATAGAGTGGGTAAAGAGGCGATAGATAAGAGCCTCTCGCTCGACGTCAACGGAAGTGCCACATTCGTCGCCGATACGGCGTCTAATATTTTAAAATTTTGTCAAAGAATTCAAATATCGATAACACAGAAAAGTAATCGATGAATCTGATGATCCACATTCATTGCATGCTGTAATTGAGTCGCAGCAATTGTCGCATTATGGAGAATATTCAACAATCGCTAGCAAATTTCGAGTTCATTCTCTATTTAAAGCGCTAGTAGGAGGGCCCATCCGTGGTTAAAATTCTCCGTCCGAGAGTGTTCGTGCTGTTTACGTAATCCTTTCGGCGGGAATATCCCGCGGCGCGAGGAATTCGCTCCTTCCACAACATCACTTTTCGTTTGGTGCCAAAACTAACGCTTCCAAGCGTTCAAAATCATCAAAAATTCGTAAAACTAAACACTGATCCTTGTTCGTTAACGCTAACTATCAACAACACGGGTAAAATCTTATTCTGGAATAATACAATAACAGTTAAACATAGTTGTGTAAATTCATTTAAATTCGATTAAGCACTGATTTGATTTCGCACGTGCGGAGTAACGAGGCGAAACACGTGATCGTAACTCTCGTCTAAACTTTAATTCGATCGACAACAAACATAACATTCCACAAGTTCCATCGATCGGAAATAGTAGAAAGAGATCGCGAGCGACACGTCGAAAAACGAGCAGGAAAAGAAAAAATCGACCCCATATCGCTTTTTTTTTTTTCGTGGACAAGTCTAGGGAAATTTTAAACGTTGGTGGGAACTTAATGCACTTCCTCAATCTGGACATTTGAAGACTATTAACCTCGCGTGACTTCACCCCGAAGGGTGACATTTTTCCTTTCTCCAATCTCGTGCCATATGCCAGAAGCTTATCCTACCGAAAGTGAAAGTGGGTTCGACTTACCTGGCGGACACATGCATTCGGCGGCCACCACATCCCTCTTCCTCCTCTTCTCCTCCTGTTCGGCACGCTGCAGAGGGTAAAAAGGGAACTTTCAGTATAACAATACCGTGACAGTAACAAAAGGAGTAAAAAAAAACTGGCTACCCTTATTCACGTGACGTAGAAGGAAAAAGTTCCATTTTCTCCTTTACCAAATCCCTTAAGGGATCAAAAGCGGGTAATTTATTATCTTTACTCCAGATAATTATCTTGGCTTAAACAAACAGTTATCTGCAGAGACATTAAACAGAGGAAGCAAATATTTACTCCGCGACTTTCACCACCTCTAATTTTGGTAAGTGCCATCACTGTTACGCGAGGCTCCGGGCGATCGCGGGTTCGAAGACGACGCGTCGCGTTGCATCGAAGAATAACAGAATGTCTTTTGTCTTTGCCAAGTTTTGAAAGAACGTAATTTAAATTTCGACATTCCTTACATATTTAAAGATGTGCCAGATACGCAAGAGATAGATCATGTTGCTTTTTTTTTTAATAATCTACTAAAGATGAAGAACAAGAAACAATGAAATGAGATACAAGAAAATGAATATTCTTTGACGCGACGCGTCGCGTCAGAGAATACCCAATTTTCTTGTCACCTTATAAATTTTGAGGATGATAGAGGGCATGATGCTAAGGTATCTCATTTTGTGAGGGTCTATCTGGTATCTCGTGACAAATTACTAGTGGCTAGGCGTTAAAGACGGAATTGAACTGTTGCATTGCACATATCGGTGAGAAGCTTTCAATTGTCATCATATGTACCGTCTCGTAATTTTTCCGTTCTACTCGTGTTTTTTCAGAAAATATCTCGCCAAATAGGCACCTAATAAATGGTGATTAGTTATGTTTCAAGGCCGTCACATCAATCTCGCGCGCTTTGTAAGAAGCGCGCCATTTGATTATTTTTGAAATTTGAAGCGCAGCGCATCGCGTTACTTTGGAAGAATCGCAGAAAGCGATGCGAATGACCCATTTTAGTTTGAAACTCACCTGTTTGAGAAGGACCTCCGCTTGATTTAGAGAGTCTATCCTGAGTTGGTACTGCCTGCACTCGTCTTCTAATTGTTGAACACGCCCCTCCAATCGGAAAAGTTTAAACATGGACGCGGCCGATAGGAAGAGGGCAAGAAAACACACAAAAAGTAAAAGTAACGACGAAGAGTCGGAAAACGCGCACCACCTCCTGCCATGATCGATGATCGATCTCTTGCGATTCTCACTTGTTGCGCTCACTTTCTCCCGCTCGCGATCGCACTTTTCCATTCTTCTTTTTATTTTTTTCGGCTTCTCCGCTGCACTTCACTCCATATTCAGGTAGAAGAAGCCGTCGTGGCTCGCCTCCGCTCCCGTTGCACATCCAAATGGAGAGATGCACATGCACGCGCGCAACATCGCCGTCTGGCAACTTTTAAACTCCCAAAACCTACGCCATCTAGTGACAAATAATGTAAACATCGTCGCCAGATGACCAAAACATTACAGTTTTACTAATAACGAAAGTAAACATAAAATATTACTTTTTTTATAAAAAAAATTATTATGTAAGAATGTAAAATTTTTATTAATTTATAATTACATTAATTAATTTAACAGTTTGATTTTTTAATCGATATTTATAATTACAATTTTTAAACAAGTAAAATGGCAACACTGTGGCGGTGCGTGAGAGGTGGGGTGAAGATGGAGTCGAGAGAAATTTTGAAAGCTGTAAAGTTCTCGGCCGTTAAACACAGGAGACAATTGAGGAAAGACGAAGTAACACCCTACATTAATCACCCTATAGGTTAGAGTGTAATTAGATTTTACAACCGTTAAGGTTATGACAATATTTAGCGTTTTACAATGTATTCTGAATAAATTACCATAGATGTTGCTTACATCCTGACGGAAGAGGCTGGAATTACCGATTCCGACGTTATACAGGTGAGAACATGCGGTAAATGAGATCTTCCTCCTACAAAACTAGCCATTTAAAGATGGCCTCCCCTCCCTCATAGTGCTTAGAATAATCGATATATTAATTAATTTTGTTATTCTGTTGATCTTTCAAATAGAAATAAAGAAGTAACATTGTTAATTGATCAATTTTAACAGTAAAATATACAGAGAATGTTAGCATCTCGTTTATATTGATCTTAAGTATTTAAACTTCAATTTACTTTAGATCATTATATATATATATATTCTCTATAATAATCTAATATTTATAAAAATAACAGGCTTATTCAAGATTTTAAATTTAATTCGTTAATGGAAAATTTTATTTTTATCATTTTAAGTATGTTTGCTTTGAGATGGCGTATCTGATTATTGATAACTGGAGTGTTTATTTTATCTAGCGATAAAGTAACAACTATCATTACTTGCCAGGGCTATTGAGATTTGTATGGGTCCTGGAAGTAGAGCTATTTGAAGAAATAAAATACATAGAATATTTCTTTATAATTAAAAAGCAGTCTTAAAGATTTTATTTTCTGTTAGTAAAACTAATGTTTAATTTTATATGGGTAGGAACCACTACGAGCTTAAGTTTTCTCTGGACCCAGGAAAAAATCCCTAGTTCTTCCCTCTTGACTGGCCTGTTTCTTGCCTATTCTATGTCAATGTGGATGTTTTATATATCAGACTGACAATATAAAGTTTGCATTTGGGATCTGACACAAGAATAATGGACTATTGATAAAGTCTAGTAGAGTAGCAAAATATGAATGTATGCTATTCTAATTGTATAAACAATTTATTTGAAGGTCATGTAAAAATTTTTATAGAATAACTTAGTGTGGCTTATTAGATGACAATTTTTGTATAACCACTTAGCTCTGTATAGGAAATGTTTTGTGATATATATATATATATATATATATATCACATGATATATATCACATGATATATATATCACATGATATATATATATATATATAAATCAATATGAAATGTCACACTAATGGGTTTGGAGAATCTTCCTCAATAATTCATATTAAAATCTGATAATAACAAACGTTGTACCAGTGCCTTAACACATTCATGCTAGTATGCAAATCTAGATTTATATGATGTGAGACTTAAATACAGTAAGTACAAAGTGCAGTCAAAAAGTTCCAGGACTGGTGATGTGGTGCTACAATTGGCCATGTACTGAACTTGCATGAAGTACAATGTGTAATAGACATTGTTATTTAGCTTCCCACCAAATTTCATGCCATTATCATATGTAGTTTTTGTTTTTTCCTATTATTCAGTTTTTGTTATTATTCTGTTGATCTTTCAAATAGAAATAAAGAATTATCATATGTAGTTTTTGTTTTTTGTTATTATTAACAGTAAAATATACAGAGAATGTTAGCTTCTCATTAATATTGATCTTAAGTATTTAAACTTGAATTTACTTTAGGTTATTATATATATATTCTGTATAATAATCTAATACAGTAGAACCTCGATTATCCGGATAGTTCAAAATAAACAAAAATTTTACAAATTTGCTGATTTGCACTTGGCGAATTACGACACTGTTTATGTACGTGATGGAATGCATAACTTTTTTGTTTCAACATCTCACCCAACACAGTGGTCGTAAACTCTTAAATATATTTTACATCGTAATAAAAATATAACTTGACATACTTATTTATAAATAATATATATTCAAATTACATCATTTCTATGACCAAGGGCGGCATAAGGCATGGACGACGTGGGCCACTGCCTATGCCTCGCGGTCCAAAGGGCTTCGAGCCTCAAAGGTTTATGCATTACTTAAAAACCGTGAACGCGACGAAAAAATTTTACTCATCATAAAACGATAAATAGTTTGTCAAATTTTTATTCATAAAAATGCAGTTTCGACTGCTTTTTATTTTATAAAATCTGTCTTCTTGCACCACCAGAGGACCTTTTAAACAATAGTTAGTCTGTTAGCGTTGATCAGTAGTAGTCCAAATTCAATACAAACATTTCTTTCTTGAAATTTTGATCATGATTTAAATACAGTATTTATTTTTAATATTACCGATATGTCATCGAAAGGAAAACATGTTGTATTATCATTAAAAGACAAATTAAAGTATTTGTTTTGATTATCCGAATTTTTCCTTATCCGGACTACCTTCATCCCCAATTAGTCTGGATAATCGAGGTTCTACTGTATTTATAAAATTAATAGGTTTATTCAAGATTTTAAATTTAATTCGTTAATGGAAAATTTTATTTTTATCATTTTAAGTATGTTTGCTTTGAGATGGGGTATTGATAACTGGAGTGTTTCATATTTTCATTAATTTGCAATTTTCATTGCTCTATTAAAATGAATTTTTTTAAGGAACAGCATGTATATATGAAATTTTGTTTCAAACTTGTCAAGACTGCAACAGAAAAGAAAATGATTACAGGAGACAAAATATGGATTTATGGCTACGACCCTGAGACCAAACAACAATCAACTCACTTGTCAGTGGAAAAATCACGTCTCACCCAGACCAAAGAGAGCACGCCAAGTGAGGTGCAATCTCAACATGCTTATTGTTTTTTTTTTTTTTTCTCAATAGGGAGGGACTTATTCTTTGAGAATTTGTTCCACAAGGTCAAACTGTGAATCAAAATTTTTGTATGGATGTTTTTGGGGCACCTGCATGAAAATATCAAATGAAAAAGACAAGATCTTTGGAAAGTTCAAAACTGGTTGTTGCATCATAATGATGTCCCTGTTCACACAGCTATCTCTATTCAACAGTTTCTTACCAAAAATAAAATGGCTGTGGTTCTCCACCCTCCTTATTCACCAGACTTGGCACCATGTGACTTTTTTCTATTTCCACAACTGAAAAAGTGCTGAAAGAATGGTGATTTCAGAACATTGATGACATTCAAACAGAATCGCAGCAAGTGCTTAACAATGCCATAAAAAAGTTTCAGGATGTCTTCCTGAAACTCTTTTTTTTTATAGGGAATCTACTAGATTACTCTACTAGACCTGCGTGGTAATATCGAAAAAACATTCGTTTTTTTCGATATTACCACGCAAACTGAAAAAAAATTGAACAACATCGAAAAAACGAATGTTGTTCAATTTTTTTTTAAGTTTCAGGAATGTTTTAAAAACAGGGAAAAGCTCTGGAATCAATATATAACTGCAGAAGAATCTTATTTTGAAGGAAACAATTTTCAATAAATTAACATGTATATCAAACATTTTTGTATTGGACCAATTTTGGAAGTTTTGGCTGCATCTTGTATTTATGGAGATATGACAATTTGATCCTCTATTAGACTTTCTAAATTAAAAAGTACAGTGCTTGGATATAGGTTTGCATCTAAACTTTCTATTTTGATATAGATATTCAAGACATCTTCATTAAAGATTGGTATATATATCATACTGATGATCTTTTTAAACATTATTAATGGATTATACCAGGGGTTACCAAACTTTTTTCACAGTGGGCCAGATAACTGAGAAATGACGAACACGGGCGATATAACTATTTTGTTCAGTATAGCTTACTGAATACACAATAAATAAGGACAATCAGCATATTTATTTACCAATACACAAACACGATGGCTGCAGCAAGTTTGCAATTGCTTCCCTTAGAAACTTCATTGCAGGCACTTACACAAAAAGCACTCTGATATCCAAAGTCGTAAAATGTTGCCAAATTTTTTATTTTACTGATTTATCTAAAAATTATATTACTGTCAGACGAAAACATCAGATTAGACCAATTTTGACACTTATATTTATTTTAATTTTTTTACATAATAAGTTTATTTACAATCCATGATATTTTCCTATAAATAATTATATTTTAGCTCGTTTATGGCACAGTGTGGCAATGGGCTGGATGAACTGACCTTGCATGCGGTAGTTTGGTGACCCCTGGATTATACCAATAAAACCTGCTTAAAGTTCTCAACAATGACAGTTAATTATTTTTATTGATGTTTTAATATATTACATAATTCTTTTTATTTTCATTAAATCCACCAGTAATAACATTAGTATGAAATTTCAAAAATAAAGTTTAGAAATTTTATAGAAGCCTAAATAAATTATAAGAGTGAGAAATAACATTGAAGATGTTTTTAATTTTAAATTAAATGTTAAATATATTTTGTAGGAAATTAAATTTATTTAACCAAAGTGCTTAAGGAAGTTTAAAATCAATAAATATAAAGTTAGTGAGTGTATCTAACATTCAAAAGTGCTTAAAACTGTAAATATTGATTTAATTTTAATGTTTTTGTACCTAAAATCAATTGGCAAACAGATTTATTCATGAATAACAATTTAGCACATCAGATCAACTTCTTGGAAATTTGCTTATGGAAATAAAAGAATTTTGTTTGGGGCAATCAAATAAATATTTTCCAAGTAGATTTGTCTGTCAAAAAAAACTATAGTCATATAGCAAATATTTTCTTTTCATGTTGGTTAATGATATGTTGTTGTTATTTCTTACTTTTCCATTGGAGTATCTAGATTGTTAAAGGCTATTTAAGAAGTATAAATATTTATTCCCTCTTTGAAACTAATTCAATTTATTTATTTTATGAAGAATAATGTATTTAATAAGAAAAATTATTTAAAATAAATTCTAATTCTGCAAAAAAAAGGAAAAAGCACAGTAAATGCACTTTATAAGATTCTCTTTCTATTATTTAAGTAGATTGATACTAAATGCTAACTTAGGAACAGATTAGATTAGTCTCTACTGTGTACTGTTAAATTTAATTTAATAATATACTTATTTCAGCCTATCATTGTCATGTTTGTTGCAATACTCGAACAGTATGAAATGGCACAAATTCAATGGTGAAGTAGATACCAATTGAAAATGTATCTTGATTTTTTCAGATATATTTTTTCCTAATGTCACCTCTAAGAAACTGTATTATTCACAGTCGAATATCAAATGGTAATCTGCCTACCAATCAAATTTTGCAGAAAACAGATATAATATTTAAACTCTCACCTTGGAAAAAAATCACTTAAAACACATTTTGTGCTTGCCAGTAATCTTATATTATGTAATTTTCTTATTTGAATGCCACCATACTACTGGTCCAATAGAAAGAAGGGACTGTTGCGGAAGGGGATTGAAGTAATTCAACCAAAAGTAGTTGTTGACCTCCTCCTGGAAGAGAAGATGGTCAATGATTACTAATTAATACTGGTCTACTATTAATATTCAAAAAGTGATTTGTATTAGACAGGTTATGATGGTCCCACATGTGACCAAAGTTGCTAACCTTAACATCCGAAAGACTTTGTATGACTTGTTTAAATAAAAAAAAATTGTATAAAAATGTGAGAATAATTTTTATGTGATGATAAAGTGTTTATATTTTGGCAACAGATTGTATGAACTATGTGGAAAGTATGTTCTGGTAGATATTGCATTTATAGAAAAATTATTGGGCTATAATTTGAAAAATTTGGAGCCTATAATTCTGCTTGTCTGAGTGTCCTTCCTCAATCTCTAGAATGCAGTTAGATAGATGAAAGTCAAGACCAGATATGGAAATCTTAGGGGCAGAAGGCCCCAATTATCTATAGACAAACTTCCAATGCAAACTGAAAGTCGTGTTAATTCAATTCGAAAAGAGTTAGATATATAACAGGCACGATTCTATTACTAACAGGAAAAGTATGATGTGCAGAGGCAAGACACCACTAGAAGAATTGAGAACATTGTGATGAAAAAATTCAGCCTGGCATTGTGATGATGTTACAATAAATAATTGTTCGTTAGAATTAATTTGGTTATGGCAACGCAAACAAAACATGAACAATCTGTCGAGGAGGATGAATCCCAGGAAGACTTATGGAAAGCTGGCCCCTATTTAGGTGTTACTAACATGAAGAAAACCTGAAAAACTGCACATGGCCAATCTGTTGGCCATGCACAAACCCACAACAAACTAACTACTGGTGTTTGATGGTTTTATTCATTCAACTACTGGAGGGCATTTATTAAGAAAATATCGTTCAGAAATGAAAAAGTCCGAATGGCAAGTGCTATAAGCTACCTGTTGCAGTAATTAAGTGAATTTAATATATATCCTTGTTTGTAAGAATTATATTTAGCTTATGATTTTGTTAAATTTTTTGCCAATAGATGATGCTGTGTGTAAATCAGCAAAATTGAATGTAGATAGAAATTAATTGATTTACAGAAACCCAATACATCCATTCTCACTTTATATATTAGTCTAGATTATCTATGAAATGAAGATGTTAAAATAGGACTTAACAGCTTGATGTCAAGATGACATAGATTTGAGTAAAGAAAAAAGAAGAATTCAATTGATTCTTATTTTTTAATATTTTGAATGTTTCATAAGTAGATAAAACACAATTTAGTAAATAATTCTTCCTGAAATATTAAAAAGATGTTTTGTTAAATGGTAATTTGTATTCAGATGCAAGATACTGGTTAAAAGTATAAGTAGATTAATGCAACACACCAAAAACTCAACAAAGTCAAGTATCCTTAAACAAATTTTTTCATCCATATGCAATGGACATCCTCAGGTTCAGTTATAAGAACTTAAAAGTAGAACATTAAAATGAAGACTGGAACAGAACGTTTTTAATTTTAAAAAATAAATTCAAAGCACAGTAATGTGTGTGCATGGCTATTAATGTTACAGCTGCCACTAGTTAGGAGTCTTGAATAACACTCTCCATGCAGACAAGATAGTCCTTTTCCTTTATTACAAGGAAAAGGACTCTATCTTGTTTGCTTGGAGATTTCTAACTGGTGGTGACTTTAACACACTAATAGTCATGCACATATATTAATATTATCATGCTTCAAATTTATTTTTTTTTTTAAGTTAAAACATTCTGTTTCAGCTTTCATCTCAATGTTCTATTTTTAAATTCTTATAATCAAACCTGAGGATATCTATTGTATATTATTTAAGTATATACATTTAAGTAAAGGATAAATGATTTTTCTGGTTTTTTAGTGTGTTGCATAACTTGTAATTTGTATATTTCCATTTAGAAACAAGGGTATTTCAAATATCTTTTTGTGCAAACTTTAATATATTTAGTTTTAATTTAACTTATAATTGTATATAAATTCTTAATTTATTTTTGTAACTTTAGTAAAACATTTCAGATATTAAGATTCAGTTACTTGTATTCCAATGTGTTTCAATATTTCATTTTTATTTGATAAAATTTGTTGCTTATAGGCTGCTCTACTTCATGATACTGTTGAAGACACTGACACTACTTTCAAAGAGTTAGAAGAAGTTTTTGGTCCCAAAATAACATCAATTGTGGTAGAGGTGACAGACGACAAGACACTTCCAAAGGCAGTTAGAAAACAGGCACAAATAGACACTGCTGCTGGTCTCAGTCACGAGGCCAAACTGGTAAAGTTAGCTGACAAGCTAAGCAACCTGCGAGATTTAGAGAGGGCCACTCCTGTTGGATGGAATGAAAAGAGAGTTCAGGAATATTTCATGTGGGCTTCTAAAGTGGTGGAAGGACTAAAGGGGACCAATGAAAGACTAGAAATGCTTCTCAATAAATGTTTTCAATTAAGAGGAATTGATTCTTCCTAATATTAAATTTTGGTAAAGAGAAATATATAAAAATATTTCTGTTTGTACAAAATATTAAATTGTTATAAATAAGATTTACCTAATAAAAACAATTTAAATATTAAAATGATTAATTGTAATAATAATTTTTTAATATATAATTTTCTAAAGTAGTTTTTCATTGAATTATTTCAGATGAAAAAAATACATAATAATTTAATATTCTTTTTCTTGAATTTATTTAATAATTCATTAGTCTCACAGAAATGTTTTGAATGAAAATAAAACCAAATGAAGATTTAAGTTATGTACTGTACATTTGTATAATTGAAGTTAACAGTCAATGAATGAATAATTTAACAGTCAAATAAAGCAATCAGGTAAAATTATTTGAAATGCAAATCAGAAAAATAAGTGAAAGGATACAAAAAGATTTGTTTCTTAGAAAAAATATATATATTTTTTCCACTTATAAAAACAAATTTATTTAGAAAAAGTATTGATCTTAGAATTAAATTCAGAATTAGCCAAGACATAATAATTACTTAGATGTAGATACTTATTGTAAATCATTATTTGTTTTGTATAATTGATTGAATTTCCTTTAATACAAATCATTCACAGAAACTAATTTTAAATTCAAATAATTCTAGTTATTATTAATGAAAAGACACCTATTGGCTTTATAAAACTTACAATATATATATTTTTTTTCACTGTTAACAATTATTATTGAAGATAAAAAAATTATTTACAGATAATTCAGTTTATTTTTAAGACACTGAAATTGCAGAATGAAATATTTTTAAATCCTCAACACGCTTGTAAACTATTATTGTGTGGCTTTGCAAATTACCTAGATCTCTCATTGCCATCATGAAAACTCAATTTATTATAAATCTTGCTTTATAAGAAAAGTTTAGGTAATTTAGTTTTTTGTGAAAAATTCTATTTAAATATAAATATTGTTATTTTTATTTAATATAATTGTTTTAATATAATTACAAAACAATAATATTTATTGAAAATAAATAATACATTTTATGTTTAATCTTTAATTAACTTTATGTAAAATTAACTCAAAAACTTTATTTTCCATTGTTAAAATAAAGATTTTTAATGTTTTCATCTTGTAAATTATTCCAAAATTTTTCAATTTCAGAGTTTAAGTCATGTACGGTTGAATACTGCTTGCAATTGGCATATACTTGTCTAGATATAATGCTCCAAAGATTTTCAATACTGGGCTTCTAGCTGGCTACTTCATGAGATAACATGATTTTTGTAAACCAGGTGAGAGTTGAGTATGGGCATAAGTAGGGGCATTATCTTGCTGAATTATCCAGTTATTTCCAGCAATTTGTTTTCAAAAAAGTTAAAAGATACTGTTGAAGTGTTTGTTGATAAAGTTCTGAGTTTTGTTGTCCAGAAATAAATGCAATTGAAGTTTTTCCACCATATGAAGGGGTGATAGATGTCAGAGAGAAGGCATGTATTTATAGTGAATATACAGTGACAGAAAAGTAAAAAAAAAAATAGTGTCAAAAATAAAAATTTAAAAGGGAAGCTGATAAAATAAACTACAACAGCTCTAGCAGGTAAAAAGAAAGTGAGAAGAGATAAGGTGAACCTGTCATCCACCACTTGTCACTAGTTGTGAGGTTCAGACAAGCAGAAGAGGAGACAAACAAGTATGAAAAAAGCAGAGAAACAAGAAGTATGGGCAGTGTGGTACCAAGTACACCAAGAGTAAAGGAAGAAAGCTACATCTTGCATTGGGAGAGAGAGTAGTAGCTATCTGGTTGATTAGATGATAGTTTATCACAAAGTGTCAAGACAATTAAATCAGGTGATATGTGGAGTGTCCAGGTTTCATGAAAGTCCATATTTTCTTGAGTTCCAGAAAATAAATATGAATAATTTGGTGCAGATCAATTAACAAGCTTAGAACAGAAAGAAACTTTTATCTTTTATTTTATATATATATATACATATACACACACACCAATTTACCCCTTGTATAGTTATTGACACACACACAAATTGCAAACACTCAATAACATTTTATTTATTATTCTTGAGAGTAATGTCATTTCGTGTTTCCCTTAAGCTATTTCGTTTCCATATGCAAAGGAATGTTTTTCTATTTGTTAATTTAATTCCAAGAAACCGTCGGAATAGTTCCAAAAGCGAAACTAAATTTTCCACCTGTACTCACTTGTCAGTATCGAACGATATTTTAAGTCGACAGTATATCTAGAGGTTGTTCCGAAGACTTACATTCTTTCATTTCTTTTACTAAATCTTCTGTTCTTCAAATACCAATACATCGCGACAATGTTAACTTCACTTGGAGAACTTGCGACTCGAAAAATGTCTCCTGTGGAAAGATCGTATTGCTTTGGTGTGCACCAAGATTATCTTAAAATAAGTTCATATTACAATGATCTTACGATAAACATCACAATGTTCTGGTGTGCAGCTAGCGTAATATGCATCAATGATCTGCAGTTCCGGATTGATCCATCAAAAATAATAGTTAATTTTTATGTTTTTTTTTACTAACTTAAAAGATTTTATCTAGGCAAATAGAGTAATTCAGTTTTCACTCACTCCCAACATCCCATCTAGTTGGAACTTCGCATACATATGTATTTCCGATGACAATACTTATTTTTAGTGTTTGCAAACAATTTTACAAAAATTAGTGAAACCTCGCAGAGAATAATATACATTACATTAAATGCTAAACCAAGAAGAATTTATGTAATTCATTGTTACATATAAAGTAAGGTGACCAGATTTTAACATTGGAAAAGGGAAACAAAATTCACGGGGTTACAAAAAACGCATAAATTGTATTGTATTTTTTTTAAACTTCAACATATGTAAAATTTACAAATATAATAAATATATATACTATTATAAATTTTTAAAACTATTCTTTTACCTATTTCTCATTTGAGTGAATCTTTTTTAATGAATTGCTGTCGTCATTTAAAATGTCAAAATTTTTCACAAGAATTGGTTAAATTATATTTTACACATAATATTGCTTTTATAATCTCAACACTTAATTGTGGTTTGTAGGATGTCCACACTTTATTCACGGTAGAAAAAACGCGTTCAGTCGGGGCATTCGTTCCCGTAAGGACTGTATTCCACAATTTTTAATGCGTTATTGTATGGAACATAGTTTGTTTCAAAAATTTCAGTATTCTTGGTATTATGGGACGAAAAATAAGTGTGGGCGCTCATAGGAAGCCCATAAAAATTGATAGTGTAAGTACACTGTGTAACAGAATGTTTCTAAACAAAAGCGCTGGCGCTTCTATTTTTCGTTGCTTAATACCAAGAATACTGCGAAAGCTGAAGGAAGGAAATTTATTTTTTACTTTTTGTACACTTACGTGAATAAAAAACATTTCTTAAAACATTTATATTTATTATTAGTATTCGACTTTTCATATGTTAGCGTTTATTCTAATCACTCGTAATCGATCTTAAATAATTTTTAATCCTTAGTATCGCTGAACATTTGCGACAGTTACTGGAGATGTTGCAACTATCCTGCACGCACGATTCTCAAATGGCAATACAGTATTTGCCTTTTCTTTTCAGTTCCGTTGTTTTATCTTTGGGGGATGGGATATATAGCAACAAAGTATTTCTATCTCTGCTTGCAATGTATGAAGATCTGGAAGATCACTGCCAGTGTCGACACTTAAACGTTTGATCTGAGAAAGAAATGTCTCAGATCAACTGACATTCTCTGGCATTCCATAAGTGGGTGAAAGTTGTGGACATAGCCTACGCTTTATCTTGTTTAATAAAACATTAGAATAATATTGTCTCCCATTTGAGCAACTAGATCGTGTAAAATTTCAACTTATAAAACGAATCGAAAGTTTTTTTTTAACGTTGTGCACCCAATTTTTTCGATTAATTAAAATTCATGAAAAATGTCATGAAATGATGAAATTCATGAAAAATGTCCAAAAAATGTCATCAAATCAAACTCAAATATTCAAGTAGCACATCTTGGATGCGGAAAAAAATTATAAATTAAAATTTCAAATTATATATATAATCGAATGTAGAATTTAATCGGTAATATCAATTGGACATGGATGTTTTAGGTGTGTGTGTGTGTGTGTAAATGCATTCTAGTGATGTATACGGTGGGGTGGTCATCCCGATCTCGTTATGATGCGAAGTCATAAGTAAAATTTAATCAGAAATATCAATTGTAAATGGTATTTTAGATGATGATAGTGCATACCCCATTTTTAAAAGTTTTTTTAAATTTTTTTTTATTGTTACATTATTATTTGAAGTATAAAACACTTCGTGCATTTTAATTACAATTCTGCTAATAGATGGCGTTGAGAGAGAGAGAGGGGTTAGACTTATTTCATTACATACGAGGTGACAGAATTTGCATAAAATGTTTGGCACAGAATTGTTTTTATTGGAATTCTGTACAGTACATTCTGAGTATTTGTGAAACCTGTCCGCGTTTAGGGGCTGCCCATTAATAACGTCATGCCTCATGGGGAAGGAAGTAGTTTTTGTACTTAAATTTATAAAAGGTATAAAGGAATACTGCTGGAAAGTTGCTTTTATACGTTTAATGATTCAAATGCATACAAGACTTATCTTGCATACTTTTAATGTACATGGTGTCCACCATGAAGCTGACACGTTTGTTTCGATTGCCATATCGAAGTGCAAGGCAGTAATCAGATGTCGTGCATTCTATTAGGGGGAGAAACTGTGAAAGTTGTATAGGTAATTTTGAAAACCCATCAAAGTGACTGTAGGTGGCGTGGCAGTAGTCAAACGCAAAATGGCTTCTCTACAAGAGTGGGCGCAATCTGTGTAGTGTTATGCTGATATGCTGGAACAATTTGTTGTACCACAGATCACACATTTGCAGCCAGATTTAATTTCCCAGCAGGACTGTGCCCTTCTACATTGGAGCCTGCATGTTTGATGTTTCCCAATTGTTAGATTGGGCTCAGAGGACTGATGCCATGACCTTCTCGATCGCCGGATATTACGCCCTTAGACTTTTTCTTTTGGGGATTTGTCAAGGACAAGGTTTACGCCAGTGTCAAAATTCGTGACCTTCAACATCTTCGTGTGTGCATTCACGATGCTGTTGCTGCCGTCACGCCCGAGATGATCGAAAGAACCTGGCAGGAAATGGAGTATAGACTCGATGTTCTGCGTACAACAAAAGGAGCTCATGTAGAGGTTCACTGATTTTGTCAATAAAACTTTTTGAGGTTTTGATCATAAAATATGCATTAATTACATTCTTATTGAGCGGTAGATTTTTTACAACAGTTTCAAATGTGTCAGGTTTATGGTGGACACCCTGTATTATGATTCACTGAATGAAATACTCATCAATTTTTGACAGCTGAACTTTAGCTTTATAAGCTTTATATAATTTTAAGCGTTACGTGGAGCATAACAGAGTTTTTTTTAGTTCATCTTACAAAATACGAATGAAATTGTACTACTGATCGCAAATCTAGGAAGAAAAACATATATAAATGGGTTAAAGAATTACGAAGTAATAGAAATGAAAGGCTAAATTTAAAATTTTTTTTCCAAACACTATTTTTAATAACATAAAATTCAGTATGCAAACAATTCCAAAGTTTTATACTTATAAAAACATTTTTTTTTTTTTGGTCATGCCTATAGTCTATATCTGGACAAAATAAATTGATTAAATCTCATCGGATTCTAATTTCTCTATCTGAATATTCTGTTTGCGTACAGATTCTACCGAAAGCACCTAAACAAACGTGTAAATTTATGAAAGAGCAGTATCGCAGATTTATGTACAATAAACGAACTGTGTTAATCTGTAATATTTATTGAAATGACGAGAGACATAGTGTTTCTCGTTGGATGTCAAATTCGCCAGTGACCGAGCGGATAAAACCATCGAACACCGGTCGTAGATTTGTGCTTCTCCAACAGGCTGATAGCGTGGAGTTTTCCAAGTTTTCTTCACGTATTTAACAATGCTACATTCCATTCACAAGTACAACTAAATTGATCTGTCGGCACTTGTCTTTTTTGTCTCTCCCGTATATTTCGGCAGATCTGAAGCGACAAATCCTGGAAAATTCTCCAGAATTTAAAGCAACAGTTACATTTTTACGGATACACTAAATTTTACTCTGTAGATATGTTCGGCGCTGCGCTCGAACAATTGAAAATATAATCCAGAATGAAAATTAAATAAAAAAATTTGGGAACAAATCTTGGTTTGGAGATGGATGATCACAGTATACTTCGACTAGAAAAGTTGAATGTAACCGTTAATTAATTAACAGAAATTAAGTGTATTTCAAAAATTCAGTGATTCTCAGTTATTTGTCCAGAGACCACTTATGCCTTCGTCCATTTCTTATCTTGTAATTATTAACATAGATGTTTTGCATAACATTTTGTCTATCCGTTAATCTAATGTAATGTGATGTGTGAAACTGTTATTTTCTCCTTAATTAAAGAGCAAAGAGTTGCAATTTAGAGAAATGACTATGCTGATCCACGGACCACATTTTGTGAACCACTGCATTAGAGAATTTATGCCAGGACGTCAAAGCTGATGGTACTAACGTATTAAAGTTTGAGGATCTTCCACCGAGCTAGTCCGGTTTTGGATCCGTGGACCGCCATCATGCTTGACACCCTATGACCAGAGGGCCGACATCAACAAACAACCCCCGGCACTAAATGCCAGCGGGCATAGTTCAAAAAGAGCCATAACAGCTTGGCCCTAAGTCCAAGCTAGGCAGAAGCCTTTGACCTTCTGGCTTTGACCAATGGTAAGGAGCAGACAACCAGTAGGTCATCCGCTGAGTATACACAACCTAGCCTTTAATCTAAGCCAAAAGGCCTTAGTTAACGCTAACGAAGTAACAAGAGTCCACTTTTAAAGAGGAGTCAAAATGGCGGCATATATTCTGAAATGAGGTATCATCTTTTATCAGTCTTGCAATTAATGTTATAAATTTCCTAATTTAATAATACAAAGAAAACCAAAACAATAAATTTATTTACAGTTTAAAAGTATCTAATTTCTTAATAAATTTTAAAATATATTTCCATTGAAAAACTTCCTAAACTCGAAACGAACCTCCGAATGACGTCATCAATCATTTTCTGAAATATATTTCTTATAATTTAATATATATATATATAAAAAAAATAATTAATAATTAAAAAATTTCGGGAGAAAATCGAGATTAATTAATGATTAAAAGGTCATATTTGAGATAATTACGATTATTTGCCATCAATGTGTCGAAGCGATTACGCCAACCGATGACGCAAGCACGCTTAGATGTTGGTAGGGAATGGGGAAGTGTTCGATGTTTGCTCCGATTGAACTTTAATTATATCGTCGGAAACTGGTTTGTCTGTCTTCGTTACGTGGCACCGAAGTAGTCAAAAAACTGAGCAACGGAACATGGCCGAGAAAATCGAAGTTAGATCTACTCCAGACTTCATTTTCAAATCTTTCTTGGCTGGAGGTAAGTATCCATCTTTCTAATGCTATAAATTATGTGGAAAAATAATTCATTTACTAATGAAAACACTGTACGTACAAATTTGAATGTATCTGTGCTTAAACAATCCTTTAAAATTGGTTTCTTCACATGTAATGATCCTGTTGTTTATATTTAATTTAATGATGCTTGGAGTAATGATCTTCCTTTTATATCCATTACATTATATAAAAATGATAAATAAAAATCTAATTTATCAGTTGCCTCCACTCTGAAGATAATAACTTAAAGAAGAATTTGATTATTCTCGGATATTTATCACTGTTTATATATTGCAGAATGAAAATGTCGATAGAGGTTACTTTTAGGTCGTTTACTTACATATGTATACAGTACCTGTACACAAAGTATCTAAAAGTAACTCTACCAAAATGGGATTCATTGTTAAACTTAAAAACAGAATTTTAGAAATGATTTTACTGATAAATGTAAATAAATGATTTACCTAAATTAGTCTGATGGTCGAAGGCCTTTATTCGAAGCGGACTTTCTGTCGGAAGGGCGAAAAACATTCCGACGGAGTTTATTCGACCGATAATTTTAATTGCTACGAAAATGCCGGTGAACGGTCGTTTAACGAGATTAATGATTAAAATATTTGAAAACAATTCCGATTGACATTTTCTAAATTCTGTTAGTAAATTATTTATTTGATCGTCGTCATTAATAAACATTTATTATATAAAACTGATATGATTAATTATTAAAAGTAATTATTAATTTTAAAAGTTAAATTTATAGGTGTTCTTGGTGTTTATTTAATGATGATTTAATAATAAAAAATTATTAAAATATTACATTTAAGAATTATAGTAGCCAGAAGTATCTTAAAAATATCAGTTACATCATCTTATGACATTTAAGATTTTTTGTGTAAATGCAATATTTATATTTGTTTTAAATTGAATTAATTTACTTTGAAATAAGTTTCTTTACATTGTTATTAAAAGTATAGGCAATTGTTAAGGATAGCAATTTAAAGATCTTCATTTATAACTTATAACAATACTGCAGTATTTTTTGAAATATAATTATTTAAATAAATGAATGAATGAGTTTTTTCTGTTTACTCATCGATGATTACAATTTTTATTATAATTAAGATTACTCATCACTGTTGACAGAAAAATTAATTGAATTTATAACAAAAATAAATGTAGCAGAAAATTAGTGTTGTCATAATAATAAAAAAAAGGTACAAGTTAATTTTAGATCATTCATTCATAATGCTATATATAATCAAAGTATGTAAAAGTAATTTCTACGAGTGTATTGAAATAAGAAAAAATTTAATTTGATTAAAGGATAAAATTATTCAATGTATGATGATGATAGTCTGGAAATAAATAACAATTATTATAAATAACAATAAATAATGTATTAAAATGGTCACTTTAGCATTTATGACTATTTTAACAATACTTGTACAGTGCATATAACTGTTTTAATATTTAATCATTTTAATGCTTCGACTCCAAATGTTTCGATGTGATTACTAGTTTTGATGAGTTTGTAATTTAACAAATAAAATTTATAAAGTAAAAATAGTTAGACATATTTTACAAATTAGTTATATGACAAATAAATTTATCATATAACTTTTTAAAAATTGTGGGATGAAATATTCAAATCTTTCCTTATTCTGTCAAAAGTTTTAAGCTCTAGGTTTAGTTAATTAATTATTAATAACATGAAAAATATTGAATCTTTCTCTTTCAAATGCATGCAGTCTGATGTACACCATATATCATTCACATGCATTTAATTTTTTGTTTTGATTGGCTTTGTTTTGTGCTACCTTTGTGTTCCATGTTTCATGCAATTCCAAACTCTTATGCTACCTTCATCTCTACAAACCTTAAATAATAAATAAATTTTTTAAATTGACCTAGTTTTAATTATGTATTAAGGATCTCTCCATAAATTATGTCTGCAGTTTTCTTGACATTTTCACTCCCCCTCTCCCTCTTGTCCCAGTTTGTCCAAGTTTCCGTAATTATCTCCTCTCTTTGGATGTCCAACAAAACCCAAATCCCCTTAAAACTTCTATCACTTTATGAATGATAAGTAGAAACGAAGCACACAAGAATAAATATAATAAAGTACATAAATTTTATAAAATTTAATGAAATAAATGGACTTCCACTGACACTTAATAGTTGCTTTACTATTACTATTTAATAGTTGTTTTATAAACAAAAACTAAAGATTACAAAGGTTATCTAAAATTTCAAAGTATGAAGATATACTTAGTAAAATAAGGCATATTTGAAGTAAAAAGTATAAAAATTTTATGCTATTAACACTAAATATAGCATATTTTTCATTATTTGTATGAAAATTATAAACTTACATATACATTATTATACATTATACATTATATACATGCATTTGTTAAAAGCATACTGAAAAGGACTGAATGTAAGGCTAAATTTATAAGCTTACTTTTTCTCTATTTGGCCAATTATAGTATTTTATTTTTCATTCATAACTGATACAGATGAATATGCATTGTAAGTTTGCATTTAGCAATAGCCATAGCAATTCATTCTGTTGCTACTTGGCAGTTTTTATATTAATTGGCTTTGTATTATAAGTATTTTGACATTTATAAATACATCAATTTAGGATATACTGTAATTATAGAAAATGGAATGTTATTGCTACATTATATGTTAGATAAGTTTATTTTTATCCCAGTTAGCTACAATACAGAATTTTAATCTAAAACCTATATTTGAAACACTTATGCAAGATTTTATGGGTGTAACAAATAGTGGCCCAAAATACCATAAAGAATAAATTGCTCATATTCAAATACTTAATCATATTTACATCATGTTTGCACCAATTTTCTAGAGAAAAAACACTTTTCAAACTTAGAGTATCATTTGTATTTACACATGTATCTAGATGATATAAAAAGTAACACGGTTAACTGATTTTTTGATCATCCTGTACAAGTATATGTTTTTAACGATACATAAAATAAAATTTATTTTAAATATAAAATATTCACATAATTCGATATATAAATTATACATGGAAACATACATGTAATGAGATTAAACTCAAATTTAATTTGTATTTATCTATGTTTTAATATTTGCATCCATATTTATATTAGATTTTTATTGAAACAAGCTAAAATAGCTAATTTAAGTGCCTATTTATCAAAAATTTACATTTTTCAACCTTTATCACATTGGTAAGTGCACGAAATTTCTGCAGGCATCCATTTCTCTCACGTCAATCGTGTCCTATATATTTTCAGCTTGATAAATTACTGCATGCACTTCAAGTGTCATTTACCAATCAAGGTCAAGTGCATAGTTTTATGCAGCAATGTTAACAGGAAGTTTTCATAAGAGATTATTATTTATTTTTACTTGTATAATTTTTACATGCTGCGATTTTATTTAGAAACCAAATAAAGTTTGTTTTTTAAAGATTTTATTATAAATGAAGTTACAAAAAAAAATTAAATATTTTTCATTCATAAATTTTTAAGGTTTTATTTAGTAATTATTTAGTTCAGTAGCTTAATACATCAATATATTATTCTGTTATTTTTATCAAGATGAATAAAATTTGTATTTTGTTAATTAAGTTGCTAATTTTTTCTTTATTTTAACAGTGTTTATTTACAAAATATTTTAATAATTTAACTTAAGAAATGCATATAAAAGTATTAAAATATTTTCAACACGTACCTTGAACCTGTTACTGGTTCTTTTATATTTTCTTTGATAAATTGGCATTTATGTAAATTTAGTACATAAAATTTTTTCTTGTTTAAAATTTTTTTTTTGCTTTAAAATATGGAAAAGAAATATAAAAGTTATAAAAATTTTTGAAATGAAACATAATAAAGAATTTAAGATAGCAGAGAAATGCTAAGGTTTATATTCATTTGCTTTAGGAAATTGGGAGAACAAAACTGGGAAGGATTTTCCTGTTCCTAAATAGTAAAGAATTTGACCTTAAAACAGTTTCCTGAAATTTTTAGTGTGAGAATTGTAGCATTCTTTACTTCATACTAGATACTAGTATGATATTTACTTCATACTAGATACAGTTTAAAATTAATGTATGTAGTTTTTCATGTAAAAAAATATTTATATTGAATTTTAAAACTAGTTTTTTCCAGATAAATATTTGAAGAATTCAAATAGATGTTTATGCATAAATCTTGAACATATATAAACATATCTAAGCCCAATGTTATTAATCAAACAATTGCCTCTAGTATCAAATTACTTAGAATTTAATGTTAATAGCAACAGAAAAATAGCCTGATTAATTTTGATGATCGTTTAGCTTTGATAAATTTTAAGGTTTTGAAAACACAAACAAACACTTATCAATATAACTTCCTTTCCAAAAGAGAGTAATGGCAAACTATAAAAGTTTATATAAATAACAATTATTAAAAGAATAATCTCTATGCATATTGTCTTATGCAGTTTCTTAAGGTATATATTAAAAGTTTGATTAAGTTAAGAGCATATTTTGTATTTTATAAGTAGCTTCTTATTTTAAAAAAGTAAATTGTTAAAATCTTGATGTATGTAGTTTATATTTAAATGTCTACTCGAACTTATTTTATTAACAGGACTTATTATACTGATGTCTTTGTTCAGTAAAATTTAAGAAAGCCCATCAGTAAAATCATAGTCTTTATTTTTCATCTGTATACTTTTTACATGATATTGTGTTTCAGACTAGTTCATCCCTCATCAGCAGGTTTACATCCAATTTTTCTAAAACAAATCATTAAAAATCAATATAAATTTATAAAATTCTGACAATAAAAACAGACAATACCCAGTTACATTAAATTCATTAAAGTTTTTTGACTTTTAAATACTTCAGAAATCAAAATTACAAACAGTACTACTCTTATTATATTTTCCAGATACCTGTATATAATAGTAATAAACATGAATTACATTATTAAAGTA